CCGATCATCCCTCCAAAGTTGCCCCCACTACCCTCACTCAGTTGTGTAGCCTTGAAGTTCCATGTTTTGCACAGTGATTATGCAATTTTTTCTGTGGGAGTCCATGAGGAGAGGATTAGAACCCCAAGTTCTATGCAATGCAATTCTTGATTCCAACTCAGTTTTCTAATAGTTCTAGATCTATTCATATATTCTATTTTTTCTTTTTTTTTTCTTCTTTCCAATTTTAGTATATGTGTTGCTGAAGTGAGCACTCCTCCCTCTTTCTTTTTCTTTCCTCTTTTCTTTTTTCTTTCTTTCTTTGGATTACATGCAGGGTCTACTGAGCTACATATCCAGCCTTTTGAGACCGTCTCACCAAGATACGAAGTTGTCCAGGCTGAGCAGTGATGCTCCTACCTCAGCCTCTCAGAGTGGCATTATAGGCATGCTTCATTATGCCCGGCTTCTTATGTCATTTTCAGTCATTTGTGTTTTTCAAGAAATTTATTCATTGTATGTAAGTCATTGATCATCAACATAAAGTATGTGCCTTATCCTTTTAATTTTAATGTCTTCATTTCTGACTGATAATTTGTGCCTTCTCTGATGGACGTCGGAACACATTACTCGCGAAGTATGGCATCTTGCCATGGTGAATAAGCTGAAGGAGTTGGAGGAATTGGAAGAAACTATAGAAGCAGAATTGGCTTTCTGACCCCTCTCTCATCCATCTCCCTCAAAGCAAGGTCAGAAAACCTAGGAAAGATTTTCTGATTCCACCCTGAAGCAAAGGAAAAGAATATTCTCATTTCTAAATATGAAGGATCACAGAGAAGACTCTAACTGGTTTTGGTAAGTTTCCCCCAGTTTATAACATTAGATCAGACCCTTTTCCCTATCATATTTTTGTACTCTTCATCAAAACTTTTATAAAGTACTAATAGTTATCTGTTTCTGTGGGTTTTCATTTTCTTTACAAAAATTGGTGTGTTGGGGCTGGGGAGTTAGCTCAGCGGCAAAGCACCTGCCTGGCAAGTGCGAGGTCGTGAGTTCGACTCCTGGTACTGGAAAAAAACAAAAAACAACAAAAGAATTGTTGTGTCACCTGAAGTGTGTATGTTTGGATGGTTTCCTCTTACCAACCTGTCTTGTTACAAGGACCTCAGCACAAACCTAGGAGGGGTAGAGAAAAAGCGTCGTCATTATAGTTTGTGTCTAGATGTCCCTCATGCAGTCATGTGGGGTGGGTTTTTCAGGGGTGGATGAATCTAGAGTTTGTGATTGATTCATTGTCAAGTGCTGGGATTAAGGGTGTGAGTGCTATACCTATGTTGGGCTGGTGTCCTCCATGTAATATAAGGGACAGAAAGAGGCTTGTCCCTTCCTTCTCTGGCTTGCTTTTGCTCTCTTCTGCTGCTATGAACTGTTGCCCTCTGCTTTGTGCCATCCTGCCTTGGAGCCAGCTGATTATGAACCAAAATCTCTGTAAACCTCTGTGAGCTAACCTCTGAGCTAAATAAACCTTTCCCCCTTTATCTTTGGGTGTCAGGTATTTTGTCTCGGCAACAAGAAACATAACTAAGACAGTTGTACTCTGTTGTATATAAATACATTTTCTTTGTCCATCCACCTGTTGATGGACATATAGGCTGCTTCCAAGATTTACCTTCTGTACTATTATGGATATACATTTTATACTATGTATGTTATAAACACCACCACAAAGTATTATATTTCCTTTAAATAGTACATCATTCACTGCCAGGCATTGTGCAAGCCTGTAATCCCAGCACTTAGAAGGCTGAGGCAGGAGGATCATTGTGATTTCGAGGCCAGCCTGGGCTACAGAGTGAGCTCAAGGCCAGCCTGCCTGCACTGCATAGCAAGACCCTGTCTCAAAAAGACAAAAAATAAATAAATATATATATATATAAATAGATAGTACATCATTCTGGGTGTGGTGGCACACACCTTTAATCCCAGCACTCTGGGAGGCTGAGACAAGAGGATCACAAGTTCAAACCCAGCCTGGGTAACTTACCGAGATTGTATCAAAGTTTAAAAAAAATAAAATTAAGGGCTAGCATACACCTCAGTGCAAAGGCCCTGGGTTCAATTCCCATTACCACAAAAAAGTATTATTTTTTAAATAAGAAAAAATCTTGTATATTTACTCACATATTTATGATTTCCAGAGCTTTCCCTTTTCTCTATAGATACAGATTTCTGTTTGTTGTAATTTAGCTTCTATCTTTAATGTTTATTGTAGTCTAGGTATGCTGGCTAGGAATTATTTTAAGTTTTGTATATCCCAAAAAATTCTATCCATTATAAAGTCATCTTTTTTGTGGGTATAGGATAATGTTTACAATTTTATTTAGTACTTAAGAGGTACCTCTGCTTTTTTCTGTCTTACATAGTTTCCCAAGAAGTTTGGTGTCATTTTAAATTTTTCATTATGTACTATGCCTTTTTGCTAAGTGTTTAGGTTTGTTTTTTGTTTGTTTTTTTCTGATAGTGGTTTTAAGCAATATATGGTGTGCCTTGGTGTAGTTTTCTACGTGTGTGTGTGTGCTTGGCAGTCACTGATTTTTCTTAATTCTGTGGACTTATCCTCTTCATCAAATCTGGAAAATCTTTACTCCATTTACAAATACATTAGGCCATTAGAAGTTGTGCTTTTTTTAAAAAATGGATTTATTGCTATATCTTCAGGTTTACCTGTCCATTCGTCTACAATGTCTAATCTTCTGCAATTCAACCCAGTATATTTTCATATCAAATACTGCAGATTTTGGCTGTAGAAGTTTGAGTCATATTTATAAATTAAATGTGTGCTCCACGTCTTCCATTATTTCTCCAGTTTATTGAACATATACAATTTTAACAGTTTTAGTGTCCTTCTGTAATAATTCTATCAGTTGTGTCACTTCTTCTCATGCATTATAATTTTTTATTGTATGCTAGACTTTTCTTTTTTTTTTTTTTTTTTTTTTTTTTATGCCAGACAAAAGTTGGGTATTGGATTTTGGTAACCCAAAAAAACTTACTGTGTTTGTTCTGGAGCAAAACTGAATTAATTTAGTGCTTTCATTTTGGGGTATTAATTTCTGCTAGGCAAGACCAGAACAGTTTAGTCCATACTAAAATTTGCCCTATTTCTAAGGAAAAATTGTTTTGAATTTTTAACCTATTGCTGAAATAGGCACTCTGCTGGGCTTGTGTAAGCTCTGGAGTAGTATTTTCATGCAGGTCTTTCCGAAGTCTCGCTTGATTTCATCATCTACATTTGTTACCAGTACACAGCTGAAGACCTGCAAAGTTATTTGCAGATCTCTGGAGTTTCTTACCTCTCTTTTCTTTTCTGTTGTTCCTGCTCATTGTGGTTGCTATGGCTTTCCTGACCATCAGTTTCACCTGTTCTGCTCAGGGCAGTGGCTGACCCCCGTGTGGGTCCCTCTCTCCAGCAGTCCTGGAGACTCTGAACGTGCAATACAATAGAGCAGTCATGGGCTCACTGCTTTCCTCATTTGTGCAGGACCAGTTCTTCATTACCTAATATCAAATGCTTGAAAATTGTTCAATTTATGTAGTCTGCTACTCTTTTCAAGGATATTACATGCAGTTACTGGCACTCCATCTTGACTAGAAGCTGCCGATGATTTTAGAAGCATTTGGAGAGCTTGTTATGACTACGCGTATCTTGAGCTTGATTTACAAGCTATTACAGTGAGGCTAGGATATGGCTCTGTAATTGTGTGTCAGAAATACACCTGGCATTAGAGATGCAAAGTTAAACGAGATATAATACTTGCTTACAAAAGAGCTTACAAAGCACTAAGACAGACTAAGTAAATCAGTTTTTATAGTACAATGCATTAACTATAGTGCTTATATCATAGTGTTTTGGAACATCCTTACAAGGAAATGCATCCAAATATAGCCCCTGAGGGCCAAGGGAAAGCTAGTCAGTGATTCATGGTGGCAGTGAAGAGTAGATTTAGAAAGATGGGCTGGAGTTATTTGGATCAGTGGGAATGGGGGGCTGCGGGGGAAGGAGGCTGGCAGGCAAGAATATTCCAAGTAAGGGTAATTCATTTGGGAACTGCAAATGATTTGAAAAGGTTGGATCAAAATAGGAGGAGAGGTCTTCAGTATCTCTATCTGTAAACAGGCTCTCTAACATTTATGATTTTCATGTGGGAAAAGAAAAAATAATGCATTATGATCGGTAGGCCAACGCAATGATAGGTCCAAGTTTTCTTTGAGCCTGAAAACATGTCTGACTGACTTACTCATTTATTCATCAAAAGTTTATTAAGCACCTATTCTGTGTTGGGCCTCATACTGGATATTAGAAATCCAGAAATGTGTGAGTCTATAATTTGATAGTTTTTCTAAAATGTGTCTTAAACACTGTAGAACATACTTTAGTTACTAAAACCTCATTCTGAACAGTATCCATTTCAAAAAGCAATCAGTGACTACTTTGAGAGAAGTTTTTCAGCTTAGCTGAGGGCAGCACATATAAGGTTGCACAAGCAATCACTTAACACTAAGTACCAAGAGCTGTCCTGAGTACTTTATGTAATCAATCCCCAGAGAACCCCTACTACTATTACTTACTATTCATTTTAACCAGAATACCACTGTCTTAACAGGAGTGCTTCAGTGTTTTTATTTTACCCGTCATTACACCACCACAAAGAACAATAAAGGAAGCCCCAGAGACCTTGTGAAGTAGAGGTGAGTCATGCAGAAGAAAAACGAAGGTGATGGGAGTTGTGGTTTTGTACCAAATGGAAGTTTTTCAAACTATGAACAAAGAAATGGGTCAAAAAGATACATACAAGTGTAACTTCCCAAACTAGTGGCTATCACGGTAAACTTCACAGTTTCTTTAGGCTATGTTTACTGACATGAATAGCAATATATTCCTAAGGGTAGGTTGGAAACGATGTCATTATTAGGCCATCCAGAGTGTACTTTAAAAACAAATAGTCCTAGAAACTAAAACAGTAAGCACAGGCTCAGTTTATCATTTCACCCTCATGAGGTCAGCAGGCATCGGTACTACACTTTCTCTAAGGTAGTTAACAGAGGCAGGAGGATGGTTTCCATTCAAACATTTGAAAGCAAAATTACCAGTAATCATAGACTTTCTCACACACTCAGTGGAGGACCTGAAAACAGCATTAAAAACGATGCTACTATGTCCCCTGAGCTGGAGAAGCGCGAGGCTTCTCCTGGTGCCTCTTGAGTCACAGGAGTAATAACCTCAGAACTCCATCCGCCTTGCACCTTTGAATTTTCTCTCCCAGCCTGTGCTGAGGCCCATGTACATAGAATCACCACTGGACAATGAGGATTCCAGATATGTCAGTCTACTTCTTCACGTGATATCCCGAGTACTTTTTCCTAGAGGGGGAGAAGAGAAATAAATTCTTAAAATTCCAAGTTTGATTCACTGTTGAAGTGAAAACATATGTCTGGTAACTGTGCTCTTATCCCAGGCATGACCTGAGGCGCAGAGCGTGCATTAGTGCTGGGGGAGGGTTTGGAAAGGTGCCTGGCATCCTTGGTATGCCTGTAAGAAAAACATTAGTGAAGGTCTTCTGTTACACATCCAGGACTAACAGGCTGGATCTTTCTTGAAGATGGGAAGGAAGACTTTGAGGCTGTACTCAAAACTCAAAAAGGTGGGTACTGCCAGGTTGCTGGCTGCATGGAGGTTGCAGACCAGTCCTTTTAGACGGCTGCGGAAGGGTGAGGTTGCAGGACCGCAGGGCAACTATGGGAACAGTGCTGCACTGTGCAGGACAAAGCCTAGGAGCAAATCAGAACCTCACAGGACCGATGTGAGCACACTTTGGAGACAGAGTGGCAATTCATTCGCTTGATTCATTCACTACTTCACGAGTATTAGCTGAACACCTGTGATGTATATAAAGTGACAGGAAATATGGCAGATAGCAGGAAGCATAAGGCACATTGCCCTGTCCTCATAGATTTATTTGTGCTTGAGAGTGTCAGATGCTGTCCTGGGAAATGTGAAATACGGAGATAGTTAGGGACACTGAGTCTCTGACAGGCTTCTATTCAGGAAGTTTCCCCTCCTTCCACACTACTACAAAGGCACCACACAGCCCAAGACAGACCAAGGGGCCAGTGAAAATCCCTCCTTTCCTGTCCTATCCTTCTGGACAACTTAGGGCTTCCTCTCACACAGTATTTCTTCTCTCTCCTAGTCTCTACTTACATGTTCCAAGTGAAACCTAAGAGTGGCCAAGAGTTAAGATTCAGGTTGATGATATCCCAGACAGATGGTGCAGTTTGGATTGAAGATAAAGAACTGCTACCACCAACTTCTAAAGCCTTTGAAAAATCCCCTTTCATATTTCTCCTGATGAATTCATCTATTTTCTCAGTTTGCTCTATATCACCAGTAACCAAATTAAAATAATTAGCATGTTTTGATTCATTTTCTTTTGTCCCCCTTATTTAATAACTAGAACTAGAATCCCTATTTATATATACTGAAACAATTATATCATAAACTTTACCCTCTAATACTCATAATTGAGTGGCTTTTAGTATATTCACAGTGGTAAAACCATCACCTCTGATTTTATTTTATTTATGTATTTTGCTTTTTGGGTACTGGGAATCAAACTCAGGAACTCACACTTGCTAGGCAGGTGCTGTGCCTCTGGGCTAAATCACCGGCTCACCTCTGATTTTAGTATATTTCATCCCTCCAAAATAGTCCCTCATTCTCTAGCCCCTGGCAACCACTAATCTATTATCTCTTCCTCTGAATTTGCCTATCCTGGACATTTCGTATGAGCGGAATCATACAACATATGTTCTTTTTGTCTGACTTCTTTACTTAGCATAATGTTTTTAAGGTTCATATATGGATCAGTGCTTTATTACTACAGTGGAATCATTCCATTGTATGAATATACTTTATTTTCTTTATCCATTCATCATTCATCAGTTGATAGACATTCTGCTTGTTTCTACTTGGCTATTATGAATAATAAATGCTGCTCTGAATACTTATGTACAGGTTTTTTTTGTGAAAATATGATCTTAACTTTCTTGGTTATATATCTAGGAGTGGAATTGGTTGCCCATGCCACTCCACTCCACTCCACGGTGGTGCTGGGTACTGAACTCATGAGAAACTTGCACAGCTCCTTGTAATCCTGCCAGAGTTTGGGGAGCTACCAAATTGTTTCCCAAAGGGACTGCATCATCGTACAACTCAGCCAGCTGTGCGTGAAGATGAGGATTCCAGTTCCTTCACATCTTCACCAGCAATTACCTTTCTTATTTTAGTCAGTGTGTAGAGCTCATCATGATTTTAATTTACAGTTCTCTATCTTTTTCCTTTTTTTTCTTTTTCTTTTGTCAGTACTGGGGATCAAATCAAGCAGCACTCTGCCACTGAGCTGCATCCCCAGCCCTTTTTATTTTTCCTTTTGAGCCAGTCTCTCACAGAGTTGCCCAGGGTGGCCTCACACTTGTGATCCTCCTTCCTCAGTTTCCCAAATAGTGAGCATTACAGTAGTGTGCCACCTTGCCCAGAGTTCCCTGCCACTGAAATGAGGGTAGCTGGGGACGTAGCTCAGTGGTATAAGCGCCTGCCTGGCAAGCACAAGGTCCTGAGTTTGATTCCCGGTACAAAAAAACAAAAACAATATTTGAAATGAGGGTAGAAAGCATCTTTTTAAATGTGCTTATTGACCATTTGTCTATCTTTGGAGAAATGTCTATGTAAAACCATTGCCCATTTTAAAAATTAGGTTACTTTTTATTGTGGAACTGTAAGATTTCACTGCATTTTCTGAATATAAATCATTTACTAAAGAAATGATTTACAGTTTTTTGTGTTTCTTTTTTTTTCTCCTGTGCTCGGACTTGAACCCAGGACCTACAGCATGCTAGGCGCATGCTTACCACCGAGCTTCACCTGTGGCGCTGTTTTCCTAGTTTCTTGATAGTTGTATCCTTTAAAGAACAAAACTGAAGTCCAAATTTTCTATTTTTTTTCTTTCACTGTTTGTGCTTTGGTATAAAACCACTATGTTGTTTGTTTTTAAATAGAGCTTTTATGACATCTCAGCTACATTAGTGGGTTGAATAAACTTGAGAGTTGGCCTGAGAACCCAACTTATATTTATCATGTCTGCAGGAAAATATACTAATAAGACCAACAGTCATTTTTAAATGAACGTGTGTAACGTAGTTCTTTGGGAATTTGATCCTGTACATTATTATGGTACAAACGTGAAGTATTACAGGTGGGGGCTGAAGAGGCCACAGTTGGGAGTGGTCAGAAAAGCTTTAGGGCAGAAGAGGGACTGGAGGGCATCCGTGGAAGAAGAGAGGGGAAACTGAAATATTACCAAAGAAGCTGTTCTCCTTTTAGGAGGGTTAGAGCAGCTTAAATTTAGAATACTTAAGGCTCAAGTCAGGCACTTAAAGACGGTCACACGTGGTGTAAAAGTGGAACAGAAACAGAAGAGTGGGCAGCCACTGAAGACCACAGGAGGACTTCAGCCGTGGGCAAGATCAACCGCACTTTCCTCCTGACACCCAAGCAACCAAGCCTGTTTGCAAGTCCAAGGTCATGTCCGGAACCAACTCACACCTCCCGCTGGCTCCCAGATCCTTTCTGGAAAGAGGACTAAGGATAACATAGGGGAAAGCCTGTCCTCCCAGGAGTACCCTAGGCCTCTGGGAATTTTAAGTTCTGAGGTAATGCATTTTCACAACTCTTGACCCTCATGCAGCCCTTCAAACATGGCAGTTTGAGGAAATGGCAGGGAACAAGGATAAAAGATGGGGGAGGAGTTCAGCCTGAGGCCTAAGGGGAAAATATCTGTTTTGATTGATAACAAGTAATTTAAATTAGGTGAAAGTTTAACTGTTTGCTTTGTAGTTTGTATCAAAATGGCCCTGTCAAAGTGGCTGGGTCAAAGCAGCAATGACAGAGTGTCATGAACCTTGAATCTCTGTATAAGGGCCAGCCCCACACCCTGTCAGTAACTGGGGGTGTGAGGAATGGTCTCCCTACCCTGTTTCACCCCCAGACTTCTGCTGCCTACGGAATTTGTGAAAGTAGACATTACATCTATGTCAACATTTTATATCTCTGAATCTCATTTCCTGCTATAGCTGACCAGTCTCTCTGCCCCCACATACATACCTCACATACCCCGAAGGAACTCAGTAAATATTTATGCATGATGAAGATAATCACTAAAAATATCTTCCCATCAATGGGATAGATCTCTTGCCACTCATGTATCCTAAGCCCATGAGAACTGCTTCACAGATGTGATCCCTTTACTAAAAAAAGTTAGAAGAGAGAAAAAAAAAACCTTCCCATCCCAACTCTTCTAAGTTTGGAGAGGATTTGTTTTTAAATAGAATATACTTACCCATCCACCATGCTGCTGGATCCAGGGTGAGAAGTTCTCTTCCAGGTACTTGGCTCCAAAGCCCAGAACCCTGTTCATTGGGTGGTTATCAATAGCTGTGAGCTTGACCATGGCGTCTATTGCAAGGGCAGCTTTGAAGCCCTGGGCTTTAACTTCTGATTCTCCTCTGGTGTCCACACCTTTTAGGAACTGGTCTGTGATCATCTTGAAAACAGGGAAGGACAGCCCATCCTGGAAGCTGCTCATCAAATCCTTGTCTTTCTTCAACTGTATATGAGAGGAGAAGCACTCAGTAGAACAGCTTGGGCTGCCAAAGCAGACAGAAAGCCACTCCTTAGCTCAAGTGTAGGCCACTAAAGCACCCAGTAAAAAAGACCCCGGGTTCTAGTCTCAATCATGACACAACATAGTGCAGGACCAGACTAAAGCATGTATCTTCTCAAGGAGTTCATTTTATCGGGAAAATTTATGATAAAATTGAACAACAGTCCATTCAGTCAACATTCAAGAAGTATTCCCTAAGCACTTAACAGTACATAGATACTGTGAATGATTAAGACTCAGGTCCTCACTCAAAGGGATCACAGTCTACATATGAATGTAAAACAGCAATAAGTGCTGTCTTGGTTACTTTTCTCTCGTTGCTGGGATAAAATACCTGATGCCCAAAATTAAGGAAGGAAAGGTTTATTTTGCTTACAGTTTGTGGAGGTTATAGTCCATACTTGGTAGGTTACGAGGCAGAGTGGCACATGGCAGAGGGCTACAGCTCATGGTGGCAGAACACAGCAAAGCAACAAGCACAAAAGCCAGGAATGGCCGCAAGCAGCCTCTTGCTCTCCCTTACATATGCAAACTATCCACCCCAGGGCAGGTGCAGCTCTCACACCCATAATCAATCAAACTCTAAAAGCCTGCCCCATGACCACATGAGGCTTTAGGGGGACACCCAGACACAAACCATAACAAGTGCTTTGCTAGAAGTAGAGTCACGCATAGGATCTGAAGTGGGAGAACAAATGCCCCAGCTCAAAACCTTGTCCCAACTCTTAACTGTACAATCATGGGGAATTTACTAGTCTCTCAGATTTAATTTTGTCACCTCTAAATTCAAATGATGATAGTACCTATGACAGAGAGTAACAGAATAAGGCATTTAGAATAGTGCTCATCATGGGAAACACACTTCTCAGGACTCTGTGGAAGCATAGGAGTGTCCTGGAAGACTTGTTGAGGTGGATATGTTTACTAAAGGTCACATCCGTTGATTCCTTTCCCATTATTCTACCCAACTGATTTCACCTCCTACCTCTTCTTGAACCTGGTATCTCTCTGCTTTACCTCCTTTGGACTACTATACAGGACCTTTAGAAAAACAAAACCTATAATATCTCTGCGTCTTTGAAAAAAATCAGCATATGCCATAAATCCTCATCATCCTCTTTTAAAGTCATACTCATAATGTCTGTTAATGTGATGGTTGTCATGTGAAAACAATTTTCTTACTAAGCAGAGACTAAATGCTTATTTGAAAAATCCTAGGTTGCTGAGGTTGTAGCTCAGTGGTAGGGCAATTGCTTAGCATGTGCAAAATCCTGGGTTTGATCCCCATTGCTGAAAATAAAACATATAAATCTTCTAGTTCTGTCCTTGGAGTTAAGAAGGTTTTCCACAGGTATTGTTTGTAACAGGCATATTTGCAGGTTGAAAGAGATGCTATGTGAAGATTTTGTGGGGAGCCATGTGCTTTGTGTGAAACAAGCCTACCTCCCAACTTCCAAAGGCCTAGCCTTTTATCTGAGTTATAAATCTGAGCAGGTCTGACCAACTTCCAAAACACCAAGAGAGGACTCTTCCAGCCAGGGATGCAGCTCAGTGGGAAAATGTTTGCCTAGCATGTGCTGGGCTCTAGGTACCATCCCCAGAATCACAAAACAAAACAAAAAGAAAAGACTTCGTCAGTGGCCCCATTGCAGAAGCTAGACTCAAACTTTAGCAGGCAGCTGGAAGTGTGGCCTCTGCCAGACCACTAAAAGAATCAAATGCCAGAGAGAAATGCCTGCTGCGGAGCACCACCCCATCCCTTCAACCTAGCTTTCCCACTCAGTGGCTCCTGCTCGCTGGCCTCTACAGAATGGGCCTCCCAGCCTGCTCATGCACTCACAGAGTGGCTTTGCACTTGCCTTGCTATGAGGGAGTTATTTTCCCACCAAGTAGTGGGAACTCATCATCCACACAAACAAGGTCACACCTATCATGTGTTCCTACCAGCATGCTCTATTGGGCACACATGTACAAGGAATAGCAAAGTTTCTAAATAAATAATGGAGGGTGGGGATATAGCTCAGTGGCACAGCGCCTGCATGGCAAGTGCAAGGTCCTGAGTTTGATTTCCAGCACCAAAAAAAAAAAAAACAAAAAAACAAAAAAACCCCAAACTAATGGAAAATACCACTGAAAATCATCAAGAAAGAGCATCCGGCAAAGTGAGGGTTCTGAGAGTCGTAATCTGTGAGATGAAAAGGAAAGCATCACTCATCATGACCAGAGAGGTCACCTTCATACCACCCTCGGGGCCTGGCCTTCCTGACCTCTACTTGGCCACTGCAAGTCACTGCTGAGGGATGCAGGAAGGAGGCAGTCACGAGAGCCACAGGCCCTCTGGCTTGTAAAGAGCATTCGAGGCCACCTCCTAAAAGACACCACCACACACACCCACAATCCCAGTTCCGGTTCTGAACTGCTGACTCGTTGTTTGTATCTATTGGTAATTCTAGTGACAGGGAGACAGATCACTCTCTTGCACAAAGCAGCCTTTGACCCTCATGGGTGGCCCCGACTGCTAGGAAGTTCATTCTTACCAGGGGAGAAATCAATTGCCCTTAACTACTATATCCACGGTGCTAGTTCTAGAGAAATGCAAGATTGTCCTAAAATAATGTGTCATGTTTTATTTCCTGCTTCCTCTGCACCCCTCCCACTCTCTGCTCATGGCCCAAAGCTCACAACATTCTCTTCTCTTCCCTTTACCCTAATGTCCCTGGTTTTCATTCTGCCTCTTCTCCCTGGCCCTTCTCCTGGTCACCGTTCTCTGGGCATACTTCTGCCAAAGACATTGACTGAGGAGCCATGAACTTTCTGACTGGGCAGGGTGCCCTACTAGTTCCTGCTGTTTGCCCCTGCTGCGAAAGGCCCGGGGCTGGAGTTCCTCCCCATAGATTCTGATCAAAGCAAAGAGAAAAGTCCACAGTCCAGACCCTGACGAGCCCCAGAGATGATGTTATAGTCTACAAGCAGTGGATACAGAAGAGATGGCTTTCAGAAAAAGAAAAGCACTCTGATTACACTAAAGGTTTGCTCATCAGCTGTTTGCCTGAAGGTAGCTCTTACACATCCCAGATTAGTGGCAGAGAGTCCACAAGTTCTGCGAGTGACACTAACATGCCCTCCCAGCCCGACTGCTGAGAGAGACTAAAGGTAGACAGTAGTCTAGCAACTAAAGGGGGGTTTCAGAAAGGACTCCAACCTCAGAGTGATACAGATATCCAGGCTGCAGGGCAAATGCAAGACTCTAAGCTTCACTGAGGATCAGTTACATGGAGAGCAAGATTAATAATCCTATTCAGCAAATTTTAATTTACTGGCGTCTTTTCTTACAATAACATAGTTACTTTTCTAGTTTCCAAAAATTCCAATGAGGCTCCACAAGGTTTACTTATGTTTTCCAAACTGATTCATTTCCAAGATGTTGCCAGAGTGTAGACTCCAAGGAAAATAAAATCTAGTTTCCACTAAGTGGAAACTAGAACTTTGGAAAGGATTAAGGTTTCAACCTGGAGTACAGGTCTATTCTCATGTACTAGAACGTGGACAGAGGAAGAAATCACGTTGCTTCAAGATGGGTCATACCTCTTTTTGCAGCTGGTCCCCAGAATATTTCAGCATCTCAACAATTTTGGCTATTACTTCGTCTTCTCCATCTGTTGGGCAAGGGAATTACAGTTCTTTCTTTCAAGAGAAGCACAAAACAATCTTAAAATTTTCCAGTGGCAATGCTTATGGCTTGGTTAGGGGGTAAGGAAAAAATGCTTTCTAGTTAGCTCATAAATCTTACCTGTTCTGATCAAACACAACCACTTGTGACTCTTCTACAGATCCCTTCTTTCTGTTTCTCCTTCCTTTGTTCAGTCCCCCAATTCTCATTGTGAAATTCATCACTTTATTTACTGTAGGAATTGTTGAACCACATAAATTCCACTCCATGTAGTGGTGTCTATAAAGATACTCGGAGAGATTTCTGTCTTTTTGTGAGAATGACCTTATCTTTTTTTTTTTTTTTTTTTTTTTTTTT